AATTAAGTTCGACAAGCTCTGCCGTGCTACACGACTCTGGCACGGCAGCGATTCAAACGTCGTGCTTCTGTCGCGCCAAACTAAATCCATAAAATATGTCGATGTGTTTTGGCGAGATTTCGTTCCCTCGGGGAGTTAGGAGGAGAATTGTTACGAGGCTTCAGTAAACCCTGGATTTGATTCGACTCTGGCACGACGTCTGAATCAGAGTTGATTTCCTGCCGTGCTACAGTCGAACCAAATTGCAATTTAGTTCGGCACGGCACAAGCACGACGTCTGAACTAGGCCTTACCGTTCCATTACATCATGGGCCCTAAATGAGTTCTTAATTTTGGCCCGAAATTTCGGCGTTAATTTATAATTTCACATGTGAAATTACAAATTTGCCGTGGCAACGTTTGACACGAAATTTCTCGTCATAATAAACAAAATGCGCGTGAAATTATTTCTTAAATCACTCGTCACTAGTTGATTACCAATACTTTTTTTTCCCCTCGATCGGAGCAATCATACGGAACTCCAGCCTTTGTTGAATGCGCCAAGAGCCAGTTATGATACTTCATGCGCAAAATAATTAACTGTGAAAAGATGAAACGGATTTCTTGTTTTATTTTTCTTTTCTTTTATCGCAACATCATAACAATCAAATCAGAAAACTGTCCAACTAAACCTTGGGCTCGAAAAGATCGAAAAAGAAAATGATCAAAACTCCGCCAGCGCAGGAACACTCAACAGTTCCTAGCGAGCCCGCTGGCTCACCTTTTGAACATGAGCCGTTTTGAATCCTAAAACGGTCGTTCACAGAAAGTTAATTGCTAACAAGTCTGTAATGATCTGCCTCGTTAGATCTAAAACCTTAAGAAATGGACAAATATACCCTAGGGGTGACGTGATGAAACTAACGATCCTCAATTCCTGTTAACTAAACAGTCGTCGATTTTCAGTGCAGCATCATAACTTTAACATTGTTTAAATTTTCATTTCATTACTTTTATTTTATTTTGTCCCCAACCTATCAGGTTTTTTGCGTTGGTTGAGTTTTCAGTTCGTCCATAATGACCTGCGGCCGGAAGCTGAGACAACTGACCGCAGTAGGCAGCAGTGGCCGGTATAAAGAAATTAGACAGTACATGTCATCAGAGGCAAATGATTGTCTCAAACAAAACTGTTTTGCTGTTGTAACTTAATGATCCGTAGATTGTACAACTCGCATGCAAAAATCGCGGCGAATAAAACAGATTCCCTGCAGGGAAATCAATTTCCTTTTTTTTTATCAGTAACTCCGGACACATACTGTGCGAAAGTTAGTGAAGTGTCAATAAAGAGGTGATTACAAGCGATAACTTGCACTTGATGACGACAGTTATAATTGCAGTGTACAAGCTTTGAAAGGTCAAATGTGAAAGGATCTAAATTTGGGCGAAGGAGGAGGAGTTTTCAGACTTTTAGTTCTTAGTTCTTTCGCAACTAATGAACAATTAGGAAAATTGTTCACCTCGCTTTCATGGTTCATTACAGATCTGCAAGACATACGAAAACACTGAGAATTTGACGAAAGGAATTGTTTTTATCAAACATGTACATGTATTGTATTTGCCTGTTTGAAACCCGGGTAGGCCTTACGGAGAAGAATTACTTATTAATTCAATGTCGGCTATGATTACAAGTCACGTAATTTAGCTATATTTGTCCGCCATAAGTTTACCTTTAAAGCTTGCCCATTTATTACAAATTCGCCCGAGCTGCCGAACTCACCCTTCGGTTCTTTTCAGTCGGTGAGCTGCCGGATTCACCCTCCGGTTCTTTTCAGTTGGTGGTCGTTTAGGGCGAAACAGTACGCGGCCGTAATTAATAATTAGGGGAAAAAATCCTAACGTTGATGTTTAGTCGTTGTTTTTTTTTTCAAGAAACCATCACTATTGAATTTGATTTGTCATCGGATCTGAAAGAGTTCCCCCATATATCTTGGAACCGACGATGGAAATACTGTTCCAGCCTTTTTCATCAAACCATTTAAAATGCTCAGAACGTTTTGTATGTTCCCAAACTGACTTCGGAGAGGATCGAAACAAAACCTTAGGGAAGCAGCTGATGACTGAAATTATCACTCTCTACGATGCACGTAAATTAAAATACTGTTAGCGCTTCATATGTAAACCAATGAAATGTGTATGGACAAGACGTACCTTTTCTCGATATCAATATAACAGCCAAAATCCATTTCAAATAAGCTAAAAGTCTTCCAGCCTTCATTTCAACTGCGAGAGAAAAGTAATGCTTTTTGCTCTATGATCTCGAAACGTTATCAAAACGCGTGACAAGATCTAATAATTAATTCACGCATAGTGAATTACTGATGTTTACGGTTCTCATCAAATCTCCAGGGAACAGTTCTATACAGTTAAGCCGTTTATTGTTAATTTAATTGCACAGCAAGCTTTTGAAAACAGTCATTTTAATATGAATGAAAATCCATTTCTTCTTCATCCACGTTATTGAAACCAAGTTGGCAAATTAAATGCGCACGGAATCGAGAAATTTGTTCTCGCTTACGAGACGATCGCGCGAGCCATCGAAGAAACATTTATATCATTTCACTGCCTTTTGCAATTAACACCTGTTTCTGGAAATTTTACACAATTCAAAAAGTGCTACATGGCACCATGAAACGAAGCCATCGCCTGCATGTGTTTAATGCAGAAATTTGTCTTATAGAGACAGTTAATTTTCCACTGTTTTGAACACCTCACATAAGCTTAGTTATACCGTTGATCATCTCACGCCTTATATTATTGCGTTGCTCAGGCGGTGCTGTCCAAATGACCGAATATGAATTAGCTGTTATGACAAAGTTCGAGATATGAGACTAGTAAAGCCGGGTGTTCTTGTTTTGGGGTGGAATACTGTAATTAAATTGATACGCTTCGAAAAACAAGCATTTTGTTTGCATTTTAGTGTATTAGGTGTTTGGGGAAAAAAAAATTAAAAAAATATATTCGATTTTCTATCGGATTAAATTCAGTGGGGCTTCTCTGGCGTATATTAGACACTGTTGTGCGCGAAATAAAAATATCTAGACATATGAAATAAAGACACTAGCAGTACAGTTTCAATGAAACACCGATCTTGACTAGGATGTCGTTTTCACTTTCATGTAATAAGCAAAAATGCAAAACTATATTGTCATTTTTAATTGGTTCCTCTATTTTCAATAAAGAAATTTTAAGCTCCTTCCTTTTGCTAACTAACCGGCTTACAGTTCAGGTCACCTAAAACCCTTAGAAATTAATCAAAACTGTGATAGTAGCAAGATACTTGCTCGATTTCCTTTTCTTTTTTTTTTTCCGGCAGTTTTTGCTGTGAAGGAATTAATATTTTTTTGTTTTGTTTTGTTTTGTTTTTTTTTGAAATTGCCCACATCCCCTTCCTCCACCTCAAATAAATTTTGGTACGTCAGCCTTGTTATATTATATACATTTTTCGTTAGAGGAGCGTTTTCTCTGGAGTCTGAATTCATTTTCCTGACGCAAGAAGATTTACTGAAATCAGTTTTTCCCCTGCTCCCTTATATTCTTAATCAGTCAGTGATTCAAAGCGAAGCGAATCGCCCTTATTATTACAGTATGTAAGTTGCCGAGATTGAGTTCCATTAATGGAGTGATTTCGATTGATAGATTTTCGTCTATTTTGCGAAATTCACAACAAACGGTCAATTAGCGCTTCCACAAGTTGCTCGGCAACTTTTTGGCAACTTCTCGTATTTCGAGCAATTTTTTTCGTTAATTTCGAGCAACTTTTCGCATTATGAGGAATTTGTGGTTTTCTACTAATTCTGAGAAATCGGAGCAGCGTTTAGTGCTTAAATTGGCCTTGCTTCCATATTTCACAATGTTTTACTAGACAATTTATGAAATGAGCCAGATCCCCTCCCCCTAGGACAGATCATGGGTGCAAAAGGCGTCTAGGTAAGCGTTTTAAAGGCAATTCAAAATGGCAGACGATGCTGACTTGCGTGTCTCATGATCGGGTGAATAATTTTTTCAAAATTGATATTAATATTGATGCGTAGTCTTAGCTCGCACATTTTTTTGGTTTTAATTGAGGAAAAAGTTAGTTGGCAACGCTGCCGGGTTCTGTCGCAAAATTGCACAAAAGTGCTAGAAATCTTACTTTTGTTGTACAATGCATTTTTCTTTCTTTCTTTTTTTTTTTTTGCATCCGACCAAAAATAAAGGAAGAGAGCAACAAAAACAAATTGGGTTTTTGTGAGCAACTTTTGAGCAGCGGTAGCAAACTAAAGGATTTCACATCTTCATCACATGTGACACAAAGAGGTCACGCAGCGTGATCTTCGAGCTGATTGCACAATGCGACAAAGCAGTATAAACATATCTGTTTTCGTTCAGTGATTTCACTTTCACTTGCTCCTCAGACTGGTGTTGTTTCATTCTCCGGCTGTTTGTTATCGGTAAGTTTTATTCTCGCCTTGTGACTAAAATTTTTCGTCGTGCATGACATTTTTACGATCAATGGAAGCCAAGAGGTCGGTCTGAACGACCCGTTACTGATCATGACTTGGCCAGTAGCGAATATTTTTGCTCTCCGGGTTTTGGCGTTTTGAGCCGTGACGCATGCATGTTTCGCTTCAAAGAATTCCTTGTTGTCAAATGTAACAAATTTAGCTTTAGAGTGTCACTGAGTAGAGTTAGAGATCTGAAATGTTTGCACAATCAACTGCAAAGAACGGTTGCGTTTCTTCATGCTATGTGCGTAATATTTTATCGAGTCAGTTAATTTAATCCGAGGTCGCATGCATATCGCATGATGTTACATGCCTCGTGTAGGGGCTTTCGCAATTAATCAATGCAAGATTCCAGCATATCATATTGAAATATTCCCGTTTTCTCATGTTTGTTGCTCATTTTAGAGCTAGACTATATTCTTTGCGCCACATTTATCGTATTTCATGCCGGCTTACGGTGATGTCTACTGTCAACACAAAAATCGTTCTGTTGCATATCAACGAAGGTCAAAATATATGTTCGTTTCACGACAAAATTATCAATGCAGAAAACGAAGTATAACTTCATTAAATATGTTGAAAAACATATCTTGGTTTTCACAATAGGTTATTGCTATGCGGAATTAGCAGTGTGTGGGTGGCAACGTTGTTGATTCTCGTTGAACTTTAAAAACAGGCTATTGTGAATGGGTCAACGCTTGTTTTCTTCTCCGTCTGGTTAACAACAACAAACTATTAAACCCAGTGAAAAATGGGGAGCTTACTGTACTTAAAGTCCAGATCGCTGGCCGAAAAACTTAATTCATGTATGTACTGAAACTTGGTGCTGGCCGCGGTTTCGGGGATTCGCAAGTCAAGAGAGCAGAACGTTGTTGTTTTCATCGCAACTGAAGTGTGCCAATATATATAGTGAATTATCGATGGGAAACCTATTTCTCCTGCATGTAATCCGCCCTCTAGCCCTGTTCACCCGATTGTCAGTGTCTGTGAATGGATTATACACCTGAAATCGCAGTGTTTCAAGTGTTTCGTAATCTCCTTTGGCCGAAGTCACGCAAGGCCGGGAGCGTTGCGTGACTTCGGCTGCAAAGAACTTTTACACGGACATAAAGGGTCAGCGCTGAGTGTCCGTAACATGGAATTGCCTTTGTTCTAAAGTTAGAAATTATATGAATTCTGGTTTTGCTGGGGTGAAGTGAACTTTCCGTCATGTAAAGGTGCCTGTATTCTGGAGTTTTCAGGTCTGTCATGTAGGTTTTGATGTCACCTGTTGCCCTTGATCTTCACACCCGAAACAAACTTGTTACGGTTTGAGTGAATTATATGAAGAGGGTCTATCAACAACGGGCAAGTTCACCCGTAACATCAAGAGCCCGTCAGTCATACTCATCCCTAATTGACAGCCCTGGGTTCGAATGTATCTTTTTCTTATTTATCTATTTACTTTGGTAACGTCTACACTTCGTCGGAGAAATTTGAAAAACAAAGCTTTATTTCTACGGTTAGGCCTACCTTTTACACTATAATCCCGGAAACGGAAAGGGAGCTTTTCGAAAACGCTCTTCAAACCGGAGGAATTTGATTTCCCTGTGATTGCCAGGGCCGAGTTTTCCTCAAACACAAATCCAAAAGACCGGTGATTGTTGCGTTTTTAAATTTCTCCGGCGTAGTGTGAACAGAGCCTTGCGCTTATTTCAGTGTTGACCAATTGCTTGCTCGCTTGATTGAATGAATGCTTCTTCTTTATTTAGACAGGTCCAGAACAATGTCGACCGCTGAGATTAAATACCCCAAGCGCTTCCTAGACTTGAACATGAACTCGCCAGTGGAGGATTCCAAACTGGCTTACGATGAAATGGCTGCTTGCTGGGAAAAGGTAACTATGACAACATATATTGTCAGAGTACGTTTACCGGCAAATACAGCCGCTTATCAACTCTTTCGGCCGTTTTGCGTCTCGCGAGACACCAAACCGACCAGGAGCGCTGAAAGACGGCTGTATTCTGAGCCTAGCTAACCTCCTACGCAGAAGCTCATTGTGCTCGTCACGCAGTCTTCTTCCTTCACGAAGAAAGACTGCGTGACGAGCGTCCACGTAGGAGAGTAGAGGCTAGCAGACACTAGCAAACGTTTGTGGCTTCAGGAAAGCGGCGAGCCAAGCTGACTCGTTTCCAGTCCTCCGACGCAAGGCAGAAGGGAAGGAGGGAACTGGAAGCAAGGCGAAAGAGGAAATACAGGCTTTGTGTGAGCAATGGATTTCCTGTAGTAACAGATTTATAGTAGTCTCAAACAAACCATCAAATCTCGAGAAGAAGCCCGGCCGGAGGTGAATATTGGTGTTGACAGGATGTCTTTTTTTCCCTTTGAGGGTGGGGGAAGGGAACAGGAGAAGGGCGATGTTGCATATTATATCGACTTCAAGTCATTATCTTTAGAATGATCGAATAGTAGTTGGGCATCTGTTTGAAAGGAGATCGGCGGACCAGTATGCGTCTGAAAAGCCTTTGGTGCATAGAAAAGTATGAACGCAAAACAACTCATACAATTGTGGTTCTCAAGTTTTCGGGTAGCTGGACTCATTTTCAGAAGAATTTCTAGAACGAAGATACATCTTATTGTGAAAATCAGGTTTATGTTGTAGTGTCAAGAACAACACTCGTACGTTTAGCCCTGTAGTAGTAATAGTAATAATAATAATAATAATAATAATAATAATAATAATAATAATAATAACAATAATAATACATAATATTTTAAGAGGAAGCCTCCAATCACCATAAGGTCGTTTTCAGGATGGTCCTTTGAGAAAATAAATGTAAAACCTTTAACATGATACATTAAAATCTAAAATACAATAAAAAGGACAAAAACATATGCGGTAAGCTAACTAAGATTAAAAAAAAAAAACTAAAACAAGAATTAAAATGTGGAGTGATGAAGCGCAGTTAATGTCTTGTCGTAGACCCTCGAACACGATACGATAGTTTTGACCTGGCGCGGGCTCGTTTCTGTTTACTACGCTTAAAAATGCGACAAATCAATAATTCCTATTTCTAATTGTTGTGCTTATGGTTGTAGATAAGCGACAACACGGGTTACAAAGGCCACATACTGTGCGTGGAGGCGTTTGATCGCGCTATGCAGACCAAAGAGGTCTACCTCAATCCGACAAAAGACATGAAAATCCTTGACGCTGGGGCAGGTACAGGAGGAATTGGAGAGATGCTGAAAGTTCGAGGGTACACCAACGTTGACGCGCTGGACATTTCTCAAGAAATGCTCAATTTAGCTGCAGCCAAGAACCTTTACAAGAAACTGATCTGTGCTCCCTTGATTGACACGCATATGAAGGAGGTAGAGACCGCTGAATACGACGTCGTGCTTTGCGCTGGCACCATAGTGTATGGACAAGTGAAACCAGGAGCGATCGAGCAGTGCGCACGATTTGTAAAACCCGGTGGGTGAATATGAACCATATTAGTATCTTCGGAGATTCCGTCCATAACTAAGGAAGCCATTGGATATCCTTCATAAGCGTGATGTGATTTGCTTGACGTGTTAGAACAGATATTTATTCGCTGTCTACGCCAAGTACCAGAGTTTTTTCTCTCTCTCGTGCAGTGTGTTGTGTTTGGCCTGACGTTTCAGCAGTAAATAAGGACTGAAACCAGAAACCGAAAACCTGAATATATAAACAATAGCCTCCATTTGGAGCGAAAACGGATGCTCGGATATTTGTCCGCGGACATTATCTGTTCCGAGAAGCGAACAGTTTTCCGAGAGCATAGCTCGACAGGGTTCGTACGGGTCGTGGAAAACCTAGAAAGTCATGGAATTTTATAATTTCATTTTCCAGGCCTGAAATTCCAGAAATTAAGGTGTGTGTCATGGAAAGTGATGGAAAAGCAATAAACGTTCTGAGAATTAACAGGCAAGAAAAAATTCAAAAGTCAAAAAACCAGTTTTAATAAAAAATAAATAAATAAATAAATAAATAAGCACTAGCACGCATTTTATGCGTCATAATGAGGGGAAAAAACCTGAAATTATAGATTATTTTGACAATACTTTGAGAAAAACTGCTGAACATATAGGTCATGGAAAACTCGGAACGATCATGGAAGAGGACATGGAAAGTCATGGAAAGTCATGGAATTTCAGAAGCCCCGAAGAGTACGAACCTTCCTCGAGGAGAACTGTGAGCTTCGATTATCCTTCAAATATTTTTTTCGAGACACGCGCAGGTTTGAAAATTGGGGAATATCACTCGGATTTATTCCCCAATTTCCCCAATTTTAGCCGGGGCATATTCAGTCACATGACGCGTTTCGACCAATCGCGCGCGAGCGAAAATATTTGATGGATTGCAAGCTCTGGTACCCACTGCAGGCATTTTGCTGAATAGCCTCTGTCACGCAGGGTATTTGCTTTGACGTTTACTTTGAGGAGGCTGATACTGGTGTAACTTATGTAGCGGGAGAGTAGGGGGTGGGGGAGGGGCAGCATGCCGAAAAGAGAAAATGAGGTAAAATATTGTCACGCAACGCTCTATTCATTGCATGACATCCCTTAGTAACTACAGTGTTCTTGCGTGCTTCTGTAGGTGGACTTTTTATATTCACCATCCGCGTGGACTCGTATGATCCAGTGGAGTGCGGATACAGTGCAATGTGCGAGAAACTGGAACAAACTGGCAAGTGGAGCCTGGTGCTGAAAGAAAAACGCGAACTCCACGTCACACCCAACGCTGAAAGACTTCGATACTGCTATCTCATCACTTACAAAGTATTACAGTGAAGAAGTGATGGGGATACCTCAAGCAAGGCTAGGGCAATCTTCTTGAGTGTAACTGGACAGTCTTTGAAACGTTAGATTGCGAGCAGTCTCTCATTTGCTCGGAAATCGGTGGGGAAGAACGCAAAACAAATGAGCGTGCGAGCGTGACTGTGAGCGTGACATGCGAGCGTCGAGTAGTGCAAGCGTGATAGCGCGCGTGACATGCGAGCGGCGAGTATAGCTCGCACGTTCACTTGTGTTGCGTTCTTCTTTGCGTTTTTCCCCTCGGAATTTTGAGCAAAAGAGACTGTTTCAGTCTATCGGAATTTACTAACACATCAGAAACCTTTGAAGAGATTGGAGTGGACGTGTGATAAGACATTTGCCCGCAAGTTTTTAGCGAAGAGATACCTTACAACAGTTTTCATTTACTTTTTTTGTGAGCAGTCGATTCAATTTTGGCTGACTGTAGCTAGTTGTCCCATTTGTTTTGAAAGCATAAGGTTGTCTAACTTTGGCAAAACTCGTGCTCATACATTCGTATAGTGATCTCTGAACTCTGATCTCACTGTCTTGAACATCATCGATTTGATGACGAACAAAAGTGTTGCTTGAGTGTGTGACATAATTGCAAAGAGTTTAATTGAATAAAGGATAAAATGTAAAGGGCTCAGTTTACAACATCTTTTGACCGCCCTTCGAAGCCATAAGGCTATATAATACCTAACTTAGCTTTGTGCGTGTACAGTCCCGTATCAACATTTATACCAGGCCATAGAGAATACAGCCAATCAGAATACTGGAAAGCCGTTGTTTATTTGACGGCATTACACCCAACCTTCCCATCATGCCCTCGCGTATGTCGCATTTATTGTGTTGATCACTGTATTTTCTATGGCATGGCATAAAATAGTTATACAACGCCCTCTCGTGATATACCACGGATTATCCCTCATGTCATCTAAAGGCTCGTGTATACCGAGAAATTAAGTGACTCGTGGGATATTTCATGGTATACCATTCGAAAGTGTTACATAATTAGGATGCATTCATCGAGGTCGTACGCGTTCTTCAAACGGCCGCCATCTTAGCCAGTTCAAATGGCAATCTGCAAGAAATTAACCTGATGTTAAACTGGGGAAGGCAAAGCGTTGATGGAAGGAAGGGGACTGGGAGAAAGGAAGAACGCATTGTTTCTTATTCTTGCGAGCGTTTTTTACGTACCTCCCCACCCCTTCCCCGTTTGCGCCGGCAACGCAGGCTAGGAAAGAGTACAAACTAACTCTATCGAACGGACAGGAAGGGGGAGAAAGTATTTTTTATCCGTTCTGCATTTTTGCAAATTTCCAGTGCACGATATTTCATTCAAGGAATCTATAATCGGCGATGTTTTCATTTCCAGAGACCCAGCTGGAGAGGCGATTGCTCGAAATGTGCTACATTCATATCAGTGTTCATAGTCATTTTATGACTAAGCAACCGTTGCTATGGCTGCTAGCTGGCTGATACTATTATAAAAAAGAATTGTTTTAAGGGACTATCGTTATACCCCGGGGAGTACTCCCAGAAAAATCGGGTGGGGGTGTGCGACACGCTTCGCAAAACCCTTACCCTATTTATGACCAAAATCTGCGATATTCCCTACTCTATTTATGACCTGACCAAAAATTCGAAACCCTATTTATGACCTAACCCTTAAATCAAAACCCTGTTTCAGACCTGCGTTATAATAAGTTCCCTCGTTCAGACCAATGTTAAATTACCGTAAACATAATTTGTGAAGGGCTTTTGTTGATTTTCTTTTCGATAACGACGAAAAAGTGGGTCAAAATCGTGGTTCAAAGTCGTGGGTCAAAACTCTCTAACTCCCTAGGGCGATCAAAACTCACTAACAACAACTTGAACTTTAGACTCACACGTGATCAGGTCGTGCTCCTTGAAACCGCGGCAAATTTGTGAGCCAGCCGGCGTCAAGCAAACGGTTTCTTCGCAGTTTTTTTTTTTTTTTTTTCT